CACAATTATACAAAGCAGAATTCCTTAATTATGTTTTGCAATCAATGATAATGATTGTTAAAGAATTTATGAAAGTTGTAAAACCAGTCTGTGTTTGTGGTAATTCTATATATTGATTTATGATGAAAAAGAAACAGAAGAAGATGAAGATTTGAAGATTTGGTAATAGGAGCTGGCAACTACAAAAGTAGTGGAAGAACTTTCAGAAGACAAAATAAGTTTATCTCAGTTAGAAGTTACTTCGTCGAGTATGGATTCAACACTAATAAATTTCCAGTCAACGATTGAAGTGATTTTGCATGCTAAAGTGCTGATTTTTCTGCTCTAGCAAATGCATTTTTTGATATAAGGTACTTTTGAACGATTTCTGTGTTACTTCGTTTAAATGAAGATGATGATATTGATGTTGTATGATATACTGCAGTCACAATTTTGAAGTTTACAATTAGAAACTTGGATGAAGTTTATAAAAATCAGCTAGACTGACACCCAGTGGAGTTAATTGGAAAAATTGAAAGGTGCTGATGGAATTTTAAATATAGTGAACTCTCTTAGAATTATGTTGGCCATCTGACAGTTCCCCATAGTAATGCCAGTGTGAGAGGTTTCATGTGTGCAAAACGAGGACTAAATTTAGATCTAAATTAGTGATGACACATTAGAAAAAATTTTATTAGCGAAAGCAGGCCTATTGTGGCAATTGTATGAACAAAATATGAAGTTCTTCTTAACCGAGAGCAAAATCTGCCATGCCATAACTTGTATGAAAACTGATAAAGTGCCTTTTTTTAAACGATTGAAAGTAAATAAAAGGTTTTTATGTCTAAGGTATTTTTGTTTTGCTTGCTTAAGACTAGTAACTATTTAAAGTTAATTCATTTTAAAAATATATTTTTATTATTTAAAAGTCTTTTTAACATTGTGAAAAATCTCTGATTTTGAGGTATAGGTTGGCAAGTAGGCATTCAGATATAACTCAGGCTCAGGATGGAGAAACTCGCTTCCTAAAAATAAATGCCAAGTTTCTGCTTTGAAAATATAAATTCCTGTTCGTCTAATTCTTGGATCTTATCAGAGCATGCAATTGCCTCTACATATCTCTGTCTGCCCCTCGACAGCTTAATCTTAGATCATCAACATATAGAGATCCCAAGATGGTGGGAAGTTCTTTTAATACAGAGTTTATTTTTAAGCTGAACACACAGCCTTGAGGCACAACCTCTTCCTGTTCCAAAACATCTGACAAAACAGAGCCAATCTTTACTTGAAAAGTTCTAGTGTTAAAAAAATTCTGAATGAAAACTGGTAGGTTGCTGCGCAAGCCACTCTCGTGAAGATCCCGAAGTATACCATATCTCCATGCCTTATCATAAGCTTTCCCAATGTCAAAGAATACTGAGACAAGGTAACTTCTTCTTACAAAAGCTTTTCGAATGGATGTCTCTAAGAGAAGCATGTTATCTAAGGTTGTTCTCCCCTTTCCAAAACCACCTTGGTAAGGCAATATAATATTATTCTTTTCCAAGAAGTAGACTAGGCGGCTGTTTACCATTTTTTCAAACACCTTGCATACGCAACTCGTAAGGGCAATTGGCCGATAGTTGGAGGGATTCCTTGGATATTTCCCTGGCTTAGCAATAGGAATTAGAACAGCTCTCCTCCATGCACTGTGAAAAGTCTGCTCCTTCTGCACCTTATTGTAAAGAGTGAGAAGGGCAGTCAGTGACTTATAGGACAGATGCTTCAGAATTTCATAATACATGCCATCCAGACCTGGACAAGACCTATGAGTCTATAAAAAAACTCTCTTTAGCACAGTAAAATCTTATTATAAAATTCAAAGTTGGAAGATTTGAAAGCGATGGGATTTCTCTCAGAGCGCTGCTTGACAGAAAGAAACATAGGTGAGTAATTTCTGCTAGAAGAAACAGCAGAAAATTTCTCACCAATAGTATTCGCAATTTCTTCTGTAGAGCTAATCACTCGGCCATCTTTTTCCAAAATGGAATGCCGCATGCTTTCTAACTCTGCCAAACCTGCTTATTAGGCATAGAGGATGTTATTAATGACACATATGTAAACCAGGAATCCCTTTGACTCTGCCTTCTTACTTTTTGTGCACTTGCTTTGGCTCTTTTAAATGCTATAAGGTTTCGCCAAAAAGGGTATCTGCGAAAAATTCCCTATGCTTTTTTTCTGTTTTTTCAGTGCTTCATGATAGTTACGATTCCACCATGGTTTTGAATACTTTAGCATTTTTCCTGATGTCCTAGGGATGGAGAGCATAGCTGCCTGAATAAGTTTTAGTAACTGCTTCAACTGCATCATCGATATGCACATCTTCTACCATGTTCTCTGTGAGCTCTGCAGTGAAAGAGAAGAGTTCCCAGTCTGCCCTATCAAGTATGAACTGACGGTATCTCGACATGGGGTTTGCCCCTCTTCATGCAAGAGATACAAAAATGGGATAGTGATCGCTGTTGTAAAGATCATTTCCCACACTAAAAGTGCAAAATGGCAAAAGAGATGGTGAACAGATGGCAAGGTCAAAAGCATGGAATGTCCTTGAAGGCTCATGGAAGTTACATATGCTGCCCATTATTCAGGAGACAAAGGCTATGATCTTCAATCATCTGCTCAATTTGTCTTCCTCGAGAATTTGTGTCTTTACTTCCCCAGAGCGGACTATGCCCATTAAAATCCTATTATAATAAAGGGGTGAGGCAGCTGCTCTATGAGACCATTTAAATCTTGCTGATCAATGTGTTCATTTGGAGGCAAATACAAAGAAATGACTGAGACAACAGTATGAAATTTTGCTTGAGTAGTGACAACTTGGAGGGATGTCATCAAAGAAAGTGCATTTGATGGATAGTCCAGTGAAGCGAGGAGGCTTACACTGCCACTGGCACGCTCACCTGCAAAGTTATCCTTCCTGATGTAAAGAAACCTCCAAAGTTTTGCTTGTTGTTCTGGTTTCAGATTTGTTTCCTGTATTGCCAAGCACACAGAATGATAAGCATTGATTATAGCTTTGATGTCGAGCAAATTTCGGTAGAAACCACGACAGTTCCATGAAACAAGGGTGGCCATTATGATTGATGTTTGTTCTTTCGGTGCTGTGTTTTAGTTTTGTATGGAAGCAGATGTCTAGGGATTTCTAATTCGTCTTCCACTTCCATATTGCCTGAGTCTATTGATTCTGAAATATCATCAATTGAATTATTGCTTATGCTTTTACTGTTGGTTAATTTTGCTTAGGTGGTTTTTTGTTTGTTTTAAACTGCAATTTCCTTTTTTTTTTTTTTTTTTTGTATTATATGTGTTGGATCCTTTTTGTTGCTTTTGTTATTTTCGGCAGGTTATTGAGTGTTTGATGGTTGAACTTTAGGTATGCTGAGAGATATTTGAGTAGCAATAGATCTAGTTGACATTACTGCAGCAGCGAAAGATTTATTTAATTGGGGTTGTGAATTTTCAAATATCCTTCTGGCTTCAACATAAGATATGCTCCTCATTATTTTCATGGCCTGAACTTCCTTTTCATATTTCCATCTAGGACGAGAGCGAGAAAATGCTGGATGTTCACCAAACTGCTGGCATTGGAAGCATCGCATTGGGTTAGGAATATATGGTCTTACAGGACAGTTAAGATACTCAGCTTTTATATTCTTCAGCAGATCAGGCGACTTGAAAGTCAGGATCACGTGTTTTGTGTCAATCAACTGGCCTTCCTTTTGTATATTGATCCACCTAGCACCACACACATTTTGATTTGCAAGCTCAGAAATGAATTCTTCTTCTGAGACACACCGAAGGTTGATTTCCCAGATCACACCTCTACAGATATTGAGTGTTTTGTGTGCTGACACAATTATATATACCTGTCCAAGTTTAGTTTGTCATGAAAGGGAAGCAGACTGGGTGGCTGAAATAGTATCAATAAGGTCTCCTGATCGGAGACGCTTTATGTTCCTTGGTTCACCTATGCATGAATGGATATATTTGCTTACTGTGAAAGGGGACATCTTTTGCATTTCGCCAGAGGGACTAAAGACAACAAGGAAGCGCAGATTCTCAGTAGTTTCCTTGGCATTTGCATCTGTACAAATTTTCTTACTTAGAGTTTTATCAATAACCTCAATACTTTGGTTGTTTTCCTTTTGTTCAATTAGAAACATAAAATCCATGGCTAAAATAGAAAAGATTCGGGTCTGACAGCACCGTCCCCCCCCCCACGGAGCCCAACAAGAGAACACAGAATTCTGTATTAGGGCTAGTCAGACCTATATGCAAACTGAAGCCCCACAGTTGGCTTTCCTGAAAGCAAGTACTCCCGAGAGCTTATCCCCAAGCCACTGACACAAGGACCAGTGACCAGCCAATTGACACCCGTGAGGACGACTAAAGTGCCTCCCATTTAGCTGAAGCAGAAGCCAAAGCAGTGTGTTGGGGACAATACATTGCCCCTCAACTACCAGGACCCTCCTTTCCAATGACAAGGGGCTCCACACACGGCAAACACGTGGGCAGTTTTCTCGCCACTCGAAAACTAGAAACAAGGGCTGTTCCAGTTTCTCGTGATGAGCCCCAACCTCCGAAGAGGAAAACCACAAGGGAGAATGCAAAGAAAAAAGTATGAACTCAGAGAAGAGGAGATAAAAGAGAGGCTAGATCACTGGGGCTCCAGGATCATGACACCCGTCTTACCAAGAAGATGGTCCTCTGAAGAGCTAGGGTACCTTAGGGTTGCCACATCCATATTCACAAAAGTGAGCCCCTGAGGAGTGCGCATAATCAGAAAGTATCCATTACTCTTTTATAAATGATAATTATAATTCTCTTAAAAATGATAATGAATACAACAATTACATTTTTAATGAGTTAAAATTATCTGGATTATTAAAGGATTTTTTATGATGTTTTATAAAATTTGTTTTACATTTGCTTCAAGAACAAAAATTACATATGTAACAGTAAAAATAAATATTTTTACTTACATCTAAAACACCAGAAATGGGTTTCAATACAGCCTTTTCAACTTCATTATAATATTCCAACAGCTCATTACCAAGCTTAGTTTGGACATTTGCACATTCTCGTAACGTATCACTAAGGGCAGAGATACATTGATTTATTATAATGTACTTTGCAACTTCAAAAGCATAATTATGCCCTAAATTAATCTCATTGAAAAATAAAAAGTCATTCTCAAAATTTAACTTCATTTAAAAATTCTGGTTAAAAGAAGTCATGATCCACTTTCAAGAATTCAAAATCATTGCAAAATACCGTTCACTTCAATACAGACATAAGCACATGCACATAGAGTGAAAAATAAACATATATAGTTGCAAAACTTGTATACATTTATGTAAGATTTATCTGATCGAAAACTGTGGTTTATACTATAGATTCATCTAACTTTATAAATATTTAAATTTTCTTCATTTAAACTTTTTGAAATAGCTTAATTGAATCAATTCTAAACAAAATTGGAAGTGATTTTTCATAAATGGTTCAAAAAAAATTTTTCAAGATCTCAAACATGATGTTCTTTGTCAAACTAAATGAATTTGTAAACTGTGACTTTAGTTTTTTATTAGTTTATTTATTAGTTTTTTTTAGTTTAGTTAGAGTGACTTAGTAATTTTTATAGCTGATGTTTTAACACTAAAACTAAGTAGGTTATTTTTTAGGTAAGATCTCTTAGTAAATACGTTTTAAAATTTTGTGTATATGTTCAAATAAGTATTCACACAAGCTCCTGGCATTCATTCCATATATCTGATGTCACCTGAATTCACAGCATTAATTTGTATTGTTCATAATGAGAGGTAAAAAATGTCTCAGAAAACTGAGCACCCTTACAAGCTGTAAAATGCAACTGATCACCCTTACAAGCTGTAAAATGCAACTGATCACCTATTTCTTAATAGCAATAAACATGAAAATCACATATATTCAATTGCAAAATATAGTCAAGTCATCCAGTTCTTAACCATAAACAACATAAAAGTTGCAGGTATTTAATTGTGAAATACAGTCATTCATTCAGTTCTTAAGAGCAAGAAAAATGAAAGCTGAAGGTATTCATCAGCAGATATAATGTGAAGTGTGTGATAATGCAATAAGCAACAGTAAAGTTCAAAAATGGGTGATGGTGTACAAGGAAGGTTAGAAAAATATGGCATGATGAATTGCACTCTGGTCAGCCATCTTAATAACAGTCTGACTCTGGAACTTAAAAGTAGAATTCAAGCAAATAGGGGAAAACTATGAATGACTCATTAAATCAGTTATGGTTTCTTGGATCGCACCTTAATATGGATATAAGTAAGTTAGATACAACCCTTGTCAGAAAAACCCAGGACAAAGGTCGTAAAAATAGAAAATTGCATTTACCAAATAATGATCCTTGCTGCTATCAAAGTAGTCCCCCCTTGGCTATCTATACACAACTACCCATGTTTCTGGAGGTCTTGGAAGCAAGCGAGGAAATCGTCAACTGTGATGCTTGCAAGCTCATTTGTGACAGCCTGTTGGATGTCTGCAATAATCTTAATGAAGCTTTCCTTTTCAGTCACCTTTTCACTCAGAGAAACAAGAAAAAATCACTATAATCTTTTATACAAATGTGGAGTCATGCCTGGCTCTATCCAATAGTTCGGCAGAAATTTGTCTTTCTTCTTTCTGTTCATCTGCTAGTCTAGTGAGTGAGGGATGATTCTTGCATTAAGTTTCTGTTTCCTTAAATCTTCTTATGATGCACATTATGATTTAAATTCAGTTCTGATATCATATGTGCAGTTATACGACGGTCTTCTTACAATAACTGCCTTACATACTCCACACACCGGTATCAGCTCTGGGATCGCCTGGCACTGAATCTCTGCCTTCATGAAACCTTTTGCGCCACTCGAAAACACGACTTTTTGAAAGTGCCTTGCCTGCATATGCTTGCTTAATTATGTTCCACTAGTTTTCCCAAGCTTAATGCAGAACTTAATGTTCACTCTGCTCACAATCAGCATCCATTGTGTCATCTTAAAGAATACAACAACAATCCGAATAGTATGTTGCTAAGCACAACCCTATCATACTAGTAAGTTTGCGAGGAAACATGGCCAAGGTCATGTTAAGAATCCATACCAGGTAACATAAAAACAACACTTGTTCTTTTTTAGTGCTGCAAACTTAGGGAAAAAAAAAAAAAAAATGTCCTGGAACTTTTTAGACAAAGGATGTATAATTAGAACTAAATGTGAATAAATTTGAACATACTGTCTCTTTTGTTAGAATGCCCCCATTCCCGACATGCACACACACAAAAAGAAAACCATCAATGTTTAATAAAGAAACTTACCCTAGAACAGAGTTTTTTGAGAAATTATTGCCATTCTCTAACATGGATGCACCAAGGGTAATCTGAGGAATTTTTTTCTAGAAAATTTTAAAATATAATATTAACACATAAAAATTTACAATTAAATAACAACAATAAAAGTATTCATTAATAAGTCAACCAACAAATTATTGTAATCAAATTCATTAGTGTACAGATATATGAATGAAATGATATTAACCATAATACTAATATAATATTAACACATAAAAATTTACAATTAAATAACAATAATGAAAGTATCCATTAATAACTCAACCAATGTATTGTAATCATATTCATTAGTATACAGACATATGAAGGAAATGATTTTAACTATAATACTAATAATTTATAACAAAGTTCTTCTAAAAAAAATCTATTACTTGATGTGAATTTAAAGTATAACCATAAATTTTAGCCAAGATAATTAACCATTCTTAATAATTTGCATAAATATTCAAAAATTTTTATTCTTGTTTAAAGATTATATATTTACAATACTTACACTTTTTAAAACCAAAAAACAAGCCTGATATAATAAAGCTGAGTTTGAACAACAAATACATTATATATTTCTTATACATATTGATATTCTTTTCCAAATATACATACAAACTTCTTTTTTAATACAGTTGTAAATTAATCATCACATTCATGAACTACATTAATTAATCTAAAATTAATGATTTATAGCAATTCATTTTAGAATAGAAAATTAAGTTTGAAATACAAACTTGGTTACTTTTTAATTTATGGCACATGATACTGTTGAAAAATATCCAATGTGTTCACTAGTTAAGGTCAAGTTATAATGCTAATAAATGAAGTTTAATTGGTATATTTCATATTTCCTATCATAATTTCTGCTACACAAATAATACAAAAAATTCTTGTAGTTAGAAACATTTTTTGGGTTTAAACTTTCACTACCAGTCATGCATAGTTGCATGATGTGGTACTCTCACCTAACAGTTAATCACACATCAACACAGGTTATATATTATACATAATATGTTAAATATTTGTTTCCCCATTAGTCAGCTTTTAGTTTATTTTCAAATATCTACTATGGCAGCAAAAGTGTTAAGCTACTAAATCATTTACCATTGCTGGGCCCCGCAAATGTTGGCATACCATAAAATATCAGAAATCTTCCACAAAGCCTGGCAAATAGACATTTTCTGAAGTACTGTCATTCCATGTGACATAAAATTGTTAATATACAAATTATAAGTTTATCGCTAAACAAACTATATGATGTAAAAGCAATAAATGTTAATAAATAAATCTTTTTCATAATACATCTGATATAATTTAATATGCATTTAACTTATGGTACTTTTTATTAAAGGGATACCAGGTGCCAAAGCACCAGGCAAACAGGTTATCAATGTCATGCCAACCCATATCCTGTCAAGAAAAACTGTGCAATATTTAATATGCATAATGCAAAAACTGTGCTCAGGGCCAAATAGTATAACATTTAGAAATGGAAGTCCTCATAACATAGCACATCTGAAGTTTGCTGTTTGATGTAATTAATCAAGTATCAAAGTAATAGATAGGCATACCAAACGTTTTTCAAGAGATGTTTCATTTCCAAAATCTATATTACAAGAAGTTATCTTTTTCTGGGTTGTTTGACATGATACTCGTATAGTTTCCACTCGTTTTTCTGCAATCACCAAATCTTCAGGAAGAACCTCAGTTTTCTCAGCTCTAAAAAGAGAAATTGATAAAATTTCAATACTTATAATGTTGTGGCAATTTATAAGTCTTTCAAAATGCTCAGTCTGGATACAAAATATTAAAATCAAGCCATGGAAGAGATTACTGTATGTCTAAAAAAGTAAAATCTTTTAAAAATTCAAGATAATCGCTCTTCATTTCATGCAAAATTACAGATTATCGTTAAATTTAGGTCTAAGAAAAAAAATTTCCCCCTTTGCTTAAACTTTTCCTTGCATAAATGATTATAATACTCAGCTCATTTAATTAAATAAAATTAAAAACTTTTAACTTCACTTTTGGTAGCATATGCATTAAGTGGCATCTATAACGTTTGTGTGAAATAACTTGTCAATGAGGACTCCCTTTTATTTTATTTTTACTGGTGACAAATTCCCTAAAAATATTTAACAAGCAGTGGCCTACAGTAGAATCTCATTTACCCGAATTAACTAACATGAAACTATTTCAGATAACACCTTTTTTCTAAATGACATATGATAAATATTTTTGGCATATATGGCAGTTGGAGCATTAATAGAGAAAATTACCATACTTTCCAGCATATATGTCAACCTCTAGATTTTGTCTAAATAATTAGTAATTCTTCATATATTCTACATCCAACCTATAATTCAGTCCTCTATTTAGTACTGATTACAATTTCAGCCTTTTTAACTTCGATAAATTTAATCCGAGAATACTGCAAAATCATTTAATAAATGAAGCAGAAATGTAGGCATGTATGTATGTAGTTTGTATGTGTGCATATATATATATACATGAACACATCCATACATGCATACATTTCTGAATTTGGTCCCAATAACAGAAGAGTAACTAACGATGATTAGTTGCGAAAAGCTAACAGTAAAAGTGAAGCTTTTGGTAATTACAAATGGATTGAGATCCATGTGGTACAATAGCGATGGTAAAATATGAAAAGAAAACAATTGAATATTCAATTTTAAGTGATGAAAACTGCCTTTAGATGTATACCTAAAGAAATATTTAAAGAAAAATGGTCCTTTCATGCAGTACATACAAAAATGATGTCCCTGTTAAAGTTCTAACCCATTAGAAGTAATTAACAATAACCTTGTTACAAATGTATCAAAGTAAATTTATATTACAATACATTTACATATTAATATTTAAAACAATAAGCATTTTTTCAAATTTTTAGCTGGATTTTGATCCTTAACAACAGCACAACAATTAATTTGTTATTTTTTAGTAAATTTTGTACAAGTTTCATAGTTTCTTTTTTATACTGTTTTCATTTAAATCACAGAGAAATAATATAAATTGCTAATGACTCATACACCCCCCCCCAAAATAAAAGCTAACATTTTATTCGCATGACACTTATTACTTCTAAATCTTTTCTGCACTAAACATCTCATAAATAAAATTAGAGAAATGTAGAATGAAATCAGTAGCAAATCATTCTACTTTTCTTTGCAAAGATTAATTATACATGTACTGACAGAAGCCCAAAAAAGGACCAACTTACATAAAACGTGAGCCAAATAATAAGAAACTCATAACATCCCATAAGTACTTATATATTTCTAGTGTCAGAAATCTTGAAATTTCTTTTAAATAAATGGTTGGCCACTACCAAATTTCCTCATAAAAAATTACTAATAATAAAACCTTAAATTATCATCAAATAACTTTTTTTTTTGGAAACATTGCTTCTGATTTTAGTATTTTAATTATTTTTCAAACAGTCTGTCTTGTACTATGGAAATTTTTAATTCATATAATCTATCAGTAAATGTAAGCATCTGAATACCATCTCCTAAAGATAAATCTCACAGTTTCATACTTTGCCTTATACTAACCTTAGATCACTTAATTTTATATTAATGCAATGTGAAATTATATAACTAACATAACTCTTAGTAATAAACACATGAACATTTTTCCCCCTTTAATAAGAAATAAAGACAAACCTTACTGTATAGTCTCCCTACTTATCGTGTCACATTCTTACAACCTCTTCCAAAGGCAGCGTAAGCAGTATCAGATCTGAAGTATTAGAACTGCTTATATGGTCACTCCAAAAGCTCTAGCAAATGTAATGCATTCCTAAAGTCTCCAAATGCAACATTAAGTATATCAGATCTGAAATATTAGTACTGCTTATATGAATAAGTCAGTTTATAAGGCATTGCATTTCTGAGTCCCAGTATTTTCTAAGAAATTCTCCTTTCACTGAAATCACAGTTATTGTATTGCTAACTGTAGTTTTTCTTGAGCTCATTGTTTATCCCATCTGCCTTCACCATTTGTTCAAAGAACACGATTCACAAAAGGAATGATCATTGCAAAATGTAGTGGTGGAACTAAAGTTTTTCAATTTTTCTTTAGATGGTAAGTGTTAATCAAATGGTTGATAACTGCTGCCCTACAGGATTAAGGTCAGGAGATCTGGCTGGCCAATCTATGCAACAAATATCCTCACTTTCCAAGTAAACATTGACCAGCTGAGCCCAATGTAGACAAGTGTTATCTCCATTAACTGGTACCCAGGACCAGCTGCCTCCTTTAAAAGTCAACATAAGGCTCCGAGATCCTCTCTGTATCTCATAGCAGCTCGGCAGCCTTTATCAACACATGCAGAGGTGTGCGGGCATCCAACATAATGCCTGGCCAAATCATTACACTTCAATTATTGCAATGATCCTTTTCCCTGATGAGGGAGGGAAAGTATTATGTTCCAGGCTCTCTTCAGATACAGGTACAGTGAAAGTAAAGTCCAGGCTGAATATTGACTGATCTATAAAAAGAATGATGCTCCACTGAAGTCTGGCCTAAGGTGCATGTTGTGTGCACTATGCTAAATGTGCTTGCTCTCTTGTGTGCTGCAGTGAGGAAGATGCAAACAAAGTTTTCTAGCATACAAACCTACTTCATGAAGCCTTCGTATAACTGTAGACTGAAATTTAAATATTGGTGGCAGGATACAGCTCATAAGAGCGCTGTGAAGCTGTAGCAGTCCTATGTCAATGCACTGAAAGTATCAAATAATGATCCTCATTCATTGTTGTAGATCCTGTGCAGCTTTTTCAATATGAATTCAGTGTTCTGAAAATATTTTCACAAACTGAAGACGATGGTGGGTGTTGCAATGAGCTCTGTAGCCACCTGCGCTTGTGATTGGCCTGTCTTTAATTTAATCACAAGTTTTCATCTTATTCCATCATGTACACATTTGTGGCCAATCACGTTACCTGGTGCCTTATAAAATTTACCCAACTCTAGCAAGAAATAGCTGCCTATTTCTTGCTAGAGTTGTCACACAAATTGCCGAAAACTGCTCTTACACTTATATCGCCTCCAATATCCCAGCACTGCATATATGCACGCATATGCTTATGTATTCGATTCTGAATATTTGCATAATTCTTCAGTTATATAATTAATACCTTTTGTAAAAATAGACATAATTTGTAAATTTTCTTCATTTTGCCCACAAGTATATATAAACAATAATTTTATTAATAACAATAAGTCTTGTTATTCAAAAACAATAATACTTAAAATTAGATACAAAACATTACAAATTATATTATTGGGAGTCCTTGTAGCAATAAACATATTCAATTTTTTGCTGAGTGTATTTTATAAAATAAATTAATACATATAGGTGTTATATAGATATTTTAATACGCATTGATTTTAAATTGATAACTAAAAATCTTTAAGGCTAAAATCTTTTAAGACTAGTTTAATCTGTTGACAATTAATATCTGCTTTTAATATACGTTACTGTTTCTCAATTTACTGTACTGCAGGTTATATTAGTTCCATTTAGAATGCAAGAAAAAATGTCAAAACAAAATAGATCAAGCTAATTTTTGCTGCCTGAAAGGTCAAGGAACTTAAGGTCAAATAATATCATATTAACAATAGCATAAACACGGACCTTTTGCTATATGTCTCCAGTCATTATTAAGTCAGTGCAGTACAGTATAATTTAATGATATATTTATGCATAATTTCAAACATGGTAAAACACTAATAATATATTATCCGTACATATAGTAGCCATCTCCCTAGTTCTTACCATACATTCATATGAAAGAAGATACTTTTAATGATATTTTATAGCATCAGAGGCCTTAAACCATTTGAAAGACAAAGTGAATGAACATATTTTCCAAATATTATGGGCCAATTATTTCATAAAAGTTAATTCTGTGATAACCTGTCAAGTAAAAATTGATATTTTCAGTTATCCAAACAAATTTGCTGTTTAAAAAAAAGATTTTAAGCTAGTAACTGAAATGCAATTATTTAATAAATTTTAAATCCCATTAATTTTTAATTAGAAGCAGAAACATGCTTAATATACAATTTGTTGTCATTTGCTTATCAGTATATTTCCTAGACGTGAAAACTTAAAATTATATTATTCTGGAAATTTTAAAGCATAAGAGCCATTAACTCATATTTATAATAAAAAATAAAAAGTTATTATCCCATATGTTAAGAGAAAATTGAATGTGAGGTGTGGAATAATTTTATATGATGGGTAAAGAAACTTGTAATATTTATTAAATTTGTATTAATGACAGGTCTATTCCTCGATATGGTAAATTTAAATATGATTTATAATTTAAAGTACACACCCATTTATGTAAGGGAAATGTAGAGAGTTCAGAAAATGAAACAATACGGAAAACTAAAAACGTACACCATAAAAGTATACAAGATTAATAAAAACCACACTCAATGATTATCCATTAGTTATTTATTAAATACAAAGCCCACCACTAAAGGAAAATAGAAAAAAAATAATTTATATTAGTCATAGTTTGCGGTGACTTAATGACTAAATTTGACTGACAGCTCAAGGAGAGTCTCTGTGTATTGGAAATTTATTTCCTACCTAAGAAAGGTTTGATCAGCAATTTGCTTGACTCTTAGAAATTGTTTTTTCATCCTTCAAGAAAATATTCTTTTGCGTCTTCAACTACATAAAAAAATATCAAAGGCTAAAATGCCTAGCAGATCTTAAAACATCCAATGAAGCTCAAACATCGTGATTTCGTTTCTCTTCTGTGTCTGTCTGTCTAGAAACAGTTCCACAGGCTGAGATGTTGCAAGCCTACTAATAAACAACGAGCATTACCGCGACCGCACTGTTTGTGTCATAAACAAACAGTGCAAATGTTAAAAGCTGAGGAAAAAAATGTCTATGCAATACGAAACGAAAAATGAATCGAATAGAAAAAATTTTTGATCGAAAAGGTGACAAAAGCCTGGATCATCTAGCCAGCTCTATGTTCTGGTTCCCTCAGAGCTATACTTGGCAAAACTTTTCTTAGCTCTTGTTTAACTAAGATATAATGGGATTTCATTTTTGAGACGAACATAAATGAGAATTCCACGTTATTTAATTTTAAAGATATAGTACAGTTCTTTACCTGTCTTCCAAGCATATATTCTAAATTTTAAACGGATTTCAAGTTGTGAGCCATGAAAAAATGCGACGACGTCATTGCAGGATGCTGGTTTTTGCACAAATATTAGAAACCCATCTTGAACTGCTTTCTTAAACAACATTTATTTGATTTATATTTTAATGATCTCGCATGTACTCAGGCCTGAATTTTTGCTATCATAGATTAGTAACTGGTGCATGAGAGTATATTTAAGATCAAGAACAATGCAGTAGCGATCAAAGCTTCTTCAAGATCCCGTTAATTTTTATCCCGTTGATTAATAAGCTGCTATACATACAGCTTCGGTAGCGATATTGTTTTCTTGTGATAATAAAGTTTGCTTTTGTTTAAGTTGGATTTTATTCTGTGGTTCACCACCGGTATAGGTTTTTTTGTGCAATGACTGTTTAAAAACTATGCGTAATTTTAATTGAGGCACAGTGAGATTTATTTTTATGTGTCCTGAAAAACTAGAAAAGATCGTTCCTTGTAAGCTTAAGACTGCGAAAGAATGCCGCTTTTAGGGATCCAAGCTATTTTAATCGGATTTTGCTTTTTTGTATACCCTGAAATTATATTTCAACAATCTACAAATATCGAAAATATCATTATAAAAGTCTTGAAGCATTGTCGTACATGGCTATTTTCTGGGTTAACTATTTATGTTTTAACAAAGTTTTCAACAAAAGTACAAGTATCTTTAGTAAAACTAAAACTTTTACCATCATATTTCCGTTGCGCTATTGCTTTTGACGCTTTAACATAATCAAATAAATTAAATCAAACTTGATATCTAGCACAAGCAACTACCATTGATTCCAGAGCAAGAGAGGTAGTAAAATATTTTCTACCAACAGGAGAGAATTACACAAAGGCTGCTGGTAGTTGAAAGACTCATTTAGGTAGAGAAGAAATTTTGGAGGAAGCATATGTCACGGAGATGTTGAAATTATTAATCCCTGCACAATCTAACCAAAAATTACCATTGATATCACTCTACGACAAACTGAAACTTATTTGAGAGCTCTTGAAACACTAGGAGTTACAACATATAATTCTTTATCCAATGGCAGAATCAGGTTTTGATGAGGACTTTCTAAAAGCTTGAAATCGAATTCCTTCTTCCAGGTCTATAAAGGAGGCCAAGGATCGTTTCAACAACTTGATGTCATTCCTCAAGGATGAAGTAAAGGGAGAGAAAAGAATATCTTTGGCAAGGTCGGGTTTTGATTTAACTAAAAATGAAGATATGAAGATACCTAGGAAAAGAAACATAATTTGCAACCTCAAAGAGGCAAAATTCCTACGCTGCTAACATTCCGTGCTGCTAACATATACTAAATAACCTGAAACAATGAAACCAAGATGCATATTTCGTGAAGGCAAGTATGCTAGTTTTGACATTAGAGGAAAGGCAAAAGACACTAAAGGATAAGAAATGCTATTTTGCGTGCTTTGTTCTGGTCGTTCGGTTAGGAGGTGTCGCATGGTTTTAAAATGTGTGATTTATAGCAAAAAACAAGATCCTTTAATGCAGAGGCGTAGCGCCGTTTTTCAGCGCCCGGGGACAACTGAAGATTTTGCGCCCCTCTCTGTGTGCCACGAATGGAAAACACTTCATTCTAAAATTTCGTATCATCAATTTGGCGCCCCCCTGGATGCTGCGCCCGGGGACATATGTCTCCCTTTGCCCCACCCTAGCTACGCCACTGCTTTAATGTGTGATCAACTGCAGACCAGAAACAATCCTAGGGAGAAGGAGTTTCTCCTGGAAAAGATGTTAACTTATCAAATATGAGTTAAAATCCAAATGTAAGTTCTTCAGACTTTTAAAGCCAACCTAAGCTTTCATGATAAAGAGAAAATAATTCGTGTGCTATGTGATCCTGCCTCATAAATGTGGTATATTTTAAGGTATATCGCAGAAGGGATGAAATATCCTATAATAAGTCATCAAGAAATAATTAAACTTTCTTTATTTGGTAGTATTTGTGTTGAAAAATATAAGCATTAACTCTTACAAAATAAAGTTAACAAAACTAAATGGGAGTTTCACTTTCAGTTTTGTCTTGGATCAAAAAGTCAAAAGTCTTGGATCAAGATATTCGTAAAATCCTAGAATACGGTACGGCTTTGACACGATTTTGAAAATTGTCGCCTACACCAAAATGACTCGTTTATAGCTGATCATAATGTCGCCAAATCCCGTGTGAACCATGTACTAGGATTAAACTAAGATCTTATGTGAAAGTGTACTGCTAATAAGTCAAGTTTCTTGGTTGTATGAACTGAGAGACTTGGATGTTGTTTTAACTCTTTAGTTGCCAAAGATGTTTTTAAACGTTTTCAAAGTTCCCTTTAAAAATCCTTTTCCGTTTACATGGAACGGAAATCTCTCGAAAAATGTTTAAGACGAGTATACACGAAGCCCAAATTTGGCCAAAAATGCTTAAGACGTGTTCAGACGATACCCTTTTGTCTTCTTTCCCTCCTTTTCGGCAGGCGGCTGTCAGTTGATGCAAAGCTTTTAACAAGGTTTGAAGTCTGTATGAGTACAGCATTTGACGGATGAGACTTGGAAGTCAAATCTTATTGTCAGACAGCAGGTATGTATTATCCTTCTGGAGACTGCAAACTTGTAAATGGAGATAAATCTTTTTACAACTGTTTGCCTTGTGTTACTTTATACAAATGATATCCAAATAGAATACCTCATTGTTATAGTATATAACCAAATTTTAACAAAAACAGAAAAAAATCAAAGTTGTAATGGAAGACGTACTTTTTAATAATAAATCATATACTATCCAATTAAATATTTTATTTTAGTATTAAAAATTGAGGTACTATTCCGTTAAAGCGGTGTCAGTTAAAAAATTCGCAACTTTTTTTGGCCATCAATTGTCGCCAAGCATAAAATTATAAAATAATAATGAAATTCGAAAGACTGAAAAAAATTGCTCTGCAAAAAGTAATTTTTTTTAAAAATTCTTAAGGAAAGTAAAGTTTTCTCTTTAATTTTTTTTTAATTTAGAATATTCTACGCATAAATAAAAAATAGCAAAACAAAACGGAATTCAATCTAAACAGGTGGCATAAAATTACAAATATCATTCAATGTTGCAGAAAAATTTCAGTTTTTTTTAATATAACCGACGCGACAAATTCTATCAAATATTAATCTGAATGGTAGTGAGCAGTGCCCCGCTGACGTTTATTTCTCCATTTAGTACTGCCCCACAGTTTGGGTATGGCATCTAGTTGCGGGGTCTACAAAATTATAAACGTGATTCACAGTGAAATATTCCTATCCAGCATTTCTTAATTCCTCTTTCTTATATCCTTTTCAGCAGTCTGAAAATATAATACTGCCATGCGCGATGCTTTCTTGAACGCCTATTCTACGGTAACTTGGCCCTTCTACTATTTGAGCGAACAATATTGACTCAAAACACGATATATAAAGAGAGAAAATGTGAATTAAAGTGTTAAATGATTCAGTATTTAAAACCATTTTACTGAAATGCTTATTTTTAATGCAAGTCATTTCTGTAAGATTAAATGTTGCTGATAAAATGCTTACTGTAAATCATGAATTTTTCTGCAGTGTATGGGAGATCAACAGATTTAATGGACGCACAGTGATATACTATAAACCATGCCATGCATGATAAAATTATTCTCACGCTTAAATGCTATAAAATAATCACATTTCTAATCCGTTTACAAATAACAAAAGTGTAAAATAATCAAATGCTAACCTTTGCTGTTCTATAAGAAATCTGCAGACATGTATTCCATCTGATATTGACAAAATCTTCTTGCTCGTACAAACTTTAAAGCGGCAGTATCGGTACGCCATTTTTTGGCCAAAGCTGATTCAAAGCTGTGGCAAAGAACGTTTGATGTTCAAAGAACGTTTATGTCAACAAAGAATAGATGTTCTTTGGCTTTACTATATAGAGCTTTGCTGCTAATAAAGTATAAAACCTGCGCTGAAAACTGCTTGCTGATCAGATGACAAGTAGATAGAAAACATTAAGAAGTCCCAAAAATAACCGATTACGCAAAATTTGATTAAAACTGAGTGAAATTATAGTTGCTTAATAAACATCGGATGCTTAATAAATATAGAAAACGATGCTTAATAAATTTCAAAACGAAAATAAGCTTTAATGTAAGAAAACATCTGAAAGGTTTCAGATTTTAAATTACGTCCAAAGGAGCGTTTTTTTTTTAACATTTTGTGTGTTACCCTTATTTATTAAGTATCACGTTCTTCGCACTTAAACCATAGAATTCAGTTCAAGAGCAATATCGCAAAATAGTTTTAAATTGAGCATATCTTATAATTTCCGATACAGAGTCTCTCCCGCTGGAGATAAAAATGTTTTTCTGTTCAACATTGCAATTGCTTTGCAATCCTTGAGTTTGTTAATCAAAAATTCGTTAAAGTTTTACAAAATGTGAAATCGATAACAAAACAAATTCTAAATTTCAAGTTTGGTCTTCCATATGCCCATATTCGTAGGATGATGACGTCATTCAAAATTCGATGGCTCTAGGTACTGTTGTTTTATCACAATGCGAGAAATATACATACTTTTATGCAGATTTTTCCTTAT